CCTGTCCAAGTTGTGGGTTGCCAGCTTTTCTAGGAGTATATTATGGGGGACTGTGTCAAAGGCTTTGCTGAAGTCCAGATAGACACATCCACAGCCTTCCCTCATCCACCAGGTGGGTCACCTGATCATAAAAGGAGATCATGTTGGTCAGACAGGACCTGCCCCTCCTAAACCTGTGCTGGCTGGGTCTGATCCCTTGTCCATCCTGTAGGTGCTGTGTGATTGCACTCAGGATGATCTGCTCCATAACCTTGCCAGGCACTGAGGTCAGGCTGACAGGCCTGGAGTTTCCCAGGTCCTCCTTCTGGCCCTTTTTGTGGATCGGTGTGACATTCACCAACTTCCAATCGTCTGGGACCTCCCCAGAGAGCCAGGACTGATAATGATGAAGAGTGGCTTGGCAAGCTCTTCTGCCAGCTCCCTCATCACCCTAGGATGGATCCCATCTGGTCCCATGGACTTGTGTGGATCCAGGTGGCTCAGTAAGTCACTGACTATTTCCTCCTGGAATACAAGGGGGCTATTTGGCTTCCTGTCCCTGTCTACCAGCTCCAGAGGACAGTTGTCCCGAGGCCACCTGTCCTACTGGTGAACACTGAGGCAAAGTAGGTGTTAAGTACCTCTGCCTTCTTTTCATCCCTGTTAATTATGTTCCCTCCCAAGTCTAACAAGGAATGGAGGTCTTCCTTGCCCCTCCTTTTGTTATTAATGTATTTATAGAAGCGCTTTTTGTTATTCCTAACAGAAGTAGCCAAATTGACTTCAAACTGCGCTTTTGTCTAATTTTCTTTCTGCATGACCTAGTTATACTTCTAAACTCATCCTGAGTAGCCAGCCCTGTTTTCCATAGTCTGTAAGCTCTCTTTTTATCCCTGATTTCCTTCAGAATCTCCCTGTTCAACCAAGCTGGTCGTCTACCTCGCTGGCTTGCCTTTTGGCACACTGGTACAGCCTGTTCCTGTGCACTCAAGACCTCTTTCTTGAAGCACGTCCATCCCTCCTGTACCCCTTTGTTTTCAAGGGATTTTTTCACAGGGTATGCTCTGGACCAGTCTTCTGAACAGGCCAAAATCTGCCCTCCAGAAATCCAGTGTAGAGGTTTTATTGGTGGCCTTCCTTGTATCCCTGAGTATTGCAAACTCTATTATTTCATGGTCACTGTGGCCCAGACAGCCTCCGACCACTACATCTCCCACCAGCCCCTCTCTGTAAACAACAGGTCCAGTGGGGCCCCACCGCTGGTAGGTTCATTTACCAGCTGGAGCAGGAAATTATCCTCTATACATTCCAGGAATCTCTTAGACTGCCTCTTCTCTGCCGTGTTGAGTTCCCAGCAGATATCTGGCAGGTTGAAGTCGCCCACAAGAACAAGGGCTAGCAATTTTGAGACATTTGCCAGCTGCTTGTAGAATAATTCATCTCCTTCATCATCCTGGTTGGGTGGTCTATAACAGACTCCCATTAGGATGTCAGCCTTGTTGGCCTTCCCCGATTCTGATCCACAGGCACTCAACCTTATCATTGGTGACCTCAAGTTCTACAGAGTCAAAAGACTCCCTAACATACAGAGCCAACCTCTCCACCTCTCCTACCCTGCCTGTCCTTTCTAAAGAGCTTGTAGCCATCCATGGCAGCACTCCAGTCATGCGAGTCATACCACCACGTTTCTGTGATGGCAACTACGTCATCGCTTTCCCGCTGCACGATGGTTTCCAGTTCCTCGTGTTTGTTGCCCATGCTGCGTGCATTGGTGTACATGCACTTCAGCTGGGCTGATGATTTTACTCTTAACTCGGGCTCTTCACCCCTCGGCTTCTCTTTGGAGAGCCTGGATTCAATACCTTCCCCCTTCAAACCTAGTTTAAAGCCCTCCTGATGAGCCCTGCTAACTTATGGGCTACAGTCCTTTTGCCCTTCCTAGATACATAAAGCCCATCTGATTTAAGAAGACTGGGTACTATAGAGTTTGCCCTACAGTCAAAAAACCCAAAATTTTGACTTTGGCACCAATCCTTTAGCCACCTATTGATGTCCTGACTCTGAAGTGATCTCAGGTGAAGTGATACACTTACTATGTGTGGGAGAATTTTCAAATGCTACAGAATACAGTAACAATGATTAATGTTTAGGCAGCTCAGCAGCAGCAGCACTATTCATTTATATTTTACTTCCTCACAGGAATATCCGTACATTCTGGTGAAAAGTACCATAACCAGACTTGAATTTCAGTAGGAACTACAAACATGTTCAGCTTCACATTTGCTCTGAGTGTTCTCACTCTGTTCTCCACTGTTATGCAAGACACCTGGATTCTCGTAATAAGGATTTTGACATCCTTTTGCAAAAATGCTCAAAACAACTTAAACTTGTTTTGTTTTACAGGCAACCTGCATATTTTCTCTGTGGAAAAACACAGATATAACACACAAACTAAGGACTCAACAATCATCAGCTGTTATAAAGGAAGGTCCTACATGTCCTTCTAGGTGGTGAACACAGGAGGATCACAAAACTTACATCTGAAGCTTACCTCTATTATCGGACCTCCAGAAACCAAAATTCTTCTGTCTGACCCTCTATATACATCATACTTACAGAGGTGAATCTGGAAGAAAGCCTATAAATACAGATTATTAAATGTGCTTAAACTGTTTATACTAAAGAAATAATGCTCTTTATAGCTATAAATTTGACTGAAGTGTTATCACTCATGCAATCTCTCTGAATAGGAAGAAGTTAAAAATAGTCCAACTTCCAGTAATTTCACTAACAGCCACATCTCACTAAAACTGATCAAGAACACTAGAATTTATGATTAATTTCATCATCCAGAAGTGGCAATTGACTTGATTTAGAAATAGAATTTTAGAGTATTAACAGAAAATGGCATGTCACCATAACTAAAACTTTTGAGAAGTACAGACAAAATACACAGTTACAGGGAAAGAAAATAATTCTTAATTTCACTTTTGCTTTATCTGCAAGACAAAGGACCTTGCAGAAGGTTACAAGAAACAGATCTACGCTAATGTAAGAGGATGTATTATCAATATGAACCATAATTCTTAACCTAAGAGGCTGAAAAGTGTTACAGTTTGAGTATTTCAAATTATTTTTGATAATTTTAGAAAGGGATGAATTTTTTCCTTTGCTTAGTCTCAGAAGCAGTGCTTTATTTCCCTACCCAGAACTCTATCAGTGCTGTCATAATTGGTTGATTTTCTACTTACTTACAGGAGAAAAGTTACCTTCCACACTTTATCAGTTACTTTAAACACTTGAACTTTACCCCTGCTATGCACAGCAGCAATTACTAGTATTTTACAATAAACCACATAATAGTTACTACAAGGGGGTAATGCTTTTCAGAATGCTAGGCTACTCTGCAATTCAGAAACCTGTGTTGACAAAGTCAAGAAACAGCTGTAAACCCAAGAAATACAGTTTCTAAGCAGTACATGTCAAAGAATCTGCAGAGTTATGTCTATGCTGATTATTCAGAAGCAAAATAAAAGCACTGAAAATGTTCATTAGCTTTCAGCTCAGTTAGTCACATTATCTGAGCATGCAATTACCATTCTATGCAGCATGACTCTGGTACAAGTACACTGTACCTAGAAGTAGATTGCAATTTTCAGTGCAAAATCTCAAGTCCACACTGCAATTACTTTCCTGAAGTTAAAGCAGAAAATACAAAGATGTTGCAGATGTATCTTTGCACCTTTACTGGGAAAGGCTTTTCACTTGTTTCTGACAATCAGCAGGAAATCTGCAGTACACTGTCAGTTTCAGCTAAGGAACAAAACAGACTACTGGAGGCTTTACGGTATTTATGACCTGTAACTCTGGAAAAACTACCAATCACTGTAGTCCAAGCAGCAAACGAAGGACCAATTTGGCACATATTGTTGCTCAATTCTATTAAACATTCCTGGTGATCACAGTATTGACATGTCAGTGAGATTTAAGGGTCTCTAGTTCCTGTATGTTCATGAGCCTCCAACATGGTAGAAGTTGACTGGAAGATTACAAAAGCAAATGTAACTGAAGCCAAGTCTGACAACAACACTACACTTATTCTGAAGTTTTGAAAGTTCACACTACAGAGATGGAATTGAAATATCACTCATTGAAGCAAAGCAGTGAAACAATTCTGATGCCTTTAAGTGACTTCATTCCAGAAAACTGAGGTCTTTGAAGACTCAATGGAAGATGTTAGAGGTTTGTTTACAAGGTAGAACACTACTGTAACATGACTGGAAAGTTCAAATTTGCTTCAAGACCTGCAGAAAACTGGACTACCATTTCACAGCTAACAGCTAAATGAGGGAGAAGTGTTGCCACAGCATGGATAACTTTGTGGACAGAAAGTAACTAATTGTTTTACTTGCAAGTAAAGACAACTAGGAAATAATATACTGGAAGTTCTGTTTCTTAAAAGTTCCTGCAAGTATTGATCAATGCCAATTATTTTAAGTCAGGGCTATCTTATATTTCACTGTTAGTTTTCTTCACTGGGTGATAATGGATGTACAAATCCAGGCAGTGAGTTCACACAGTAAATTTCAAAACCACCTCCAGTTCATTTTAAAGGCACAGTACAGTTAAAAATGTCAAGTTTCCATCACATGAAGTGCTTAGAAATGAATTCTTGAGTGTATATTCATTACAATTACATTAGTGCATACAAAATCTTAAAACCTTGTCAGTCAAATGGTTCATTGAACTCCTGAGAAATTTTAGTGAGGATGTGGCAGGTGAAGAATAATTCCAATTATGAATGCTGACAGTTATTTACTGCTTCTATGACAGAGGGTGACAGCAGATGTCTGAAACAGCTTTTGAACTCTCCCACAGAAGCCTGCTTCTTGATAGCTGCAGCTCGCCATGGGCTGTTGAGGTGGGGTGACCTTGGCTGGACACCAGGTGCACATCCAGCTGCTCTATTACTCCCCAGCAGGACAGGGGAGAGAGTAAGGTGGGAAAAAACAACTCATGGGTTGGGATAAGGCAGTTTATTTAAAGCAAAAAGTAAAGCGAAGCTTGCGTGCGCAGAAACAAAAGATAACAGAGTTATTCTCTACTTCCCACGAGCAGCGATGGTCGGTCACCTCCGAGAACGAGGGCGTCGGTACGCATGACAGTTCCTCCTCACACAGCCATTACACAATGAATGCCCCCGTCCTGCTGCTTGCCTTAGCTTTTATATCTAAGCTGACATCATGTGGTTTAGAATATCCCTTTGGTCAGTGTGGGTCAGCTGGCCTACTTGCGTTCTCTCCCAGGATCTTGCCCCTGACTGAGGAAGGAATGTTACAGTGTTGGTGCTGTGCTCAGCAGCAGCCAAAACACCAGTGTGTTACCAACACCCTTCCAGGTACCAATGCAAAGCAAAGCACTGTGAGGGCTATTATGGGGAAACAAACTCCAGCTCAGCAAGATGCAATACAGCTGCTCATAAATCTGACTAATACTTGGATTCAAAAAATTCAAAATTGAATCCAATTAAAGAGACAGTCACCAATCCAAAAGCAGATCACTGTATTTCTGCATATAGACTATTTCAACAGGAAACAGGATTGGATTGGGAAGAACCTGGAAACTAATGAAATCCTAGAAACAGGAGATACAGCAATATATGCCTAGCACTGACCAGTCATCTTGACCAGTGACCCTCTACGCCCACATACAACATGAAGCAGCTACATGGTACAAAACCAACACCTTCCTACCAATCTTGCCCAGACAAGGAGCAGTCTCCCCCAGTGAGAAGACAGAATGGATATAACTCTGCACAACTGGGTGTTACAAACAAATCTGTACATGATACAGACAAAGAAGGAAGTGATAATTATCACAGGTTAAAGCTGAAGATAAAAAATGAACAAAACCCATAAAGAAAGGAGGACATGTGAACAGCTAACTTTATTTAAATTACCTCATGTAAGTTTTTCACCAGGGCATCCACAAATAAGCATGCTCCAACTTCCTGCTATCCTCTGGATGCAGCTTCCAAAAAGTCAAAATCAGGTTTCACCTTTTGTTTGAGTTACTTGAACTTGTTTGAATAATTTCCTGCAAGTTTGCCCAATGGTCATATTTAAATAGTATTCAGCTAATTCTAGTCAAAGGGAGCTCAGACTACTTAATCAAATTCCAGTAGCTACTGTCACCTTTTGAATACATTTGCATCCTTTCAAATGTCTCATTGGCAGCAAATGGATTGATTGGTATAAATTGAGTAGACCTGACTGCATATTTGTAGCTCATGATAACCTACAACAGACACTCCTCCAGGTTGTCACAAACATTTACGTTATTGGAACAGTTGGCACAGAAGGCTTGTTAAAAGGCTTCAGTTTTGTTTGTTCCTGTAAGAGTCCAAACATCAGTTCCTTGTCTTCGTGCATTAAGTAAGCAACTCACCTAAGACTTCCTCAAATATTTAAGCTAAATTAAAGTTCAGAAGTTCCCAAGAGCCTGCTGTTCTGAAATACTGCAGGAAGAGGCAGACTGTTCTTGAATAACTTTAGTGTTTGCAAACATGCAAACAGGACATAATAATCCCCCCACATTTTATTAGCTATTTAACAATTAGTCTTGTAAAAAGACTACCTAAGTTACATTTCCATGGGCTTGCATGGACTGTAGTGTCCCTCAGGCAGCATTAGAAGCTTAAAACCCTGTATTTGTAAACATTTTCTCTTTCCAAGTCTGTGAAAGGATATCAGAAGATTTTTTCCAGTCTTAGAAATATAGCTCAGTAACTATATAGTTAAAATAGGATTACTTTACAAAGACAACATGAATGACAAAAATATTTATGAACTGTGTTTATATAAACATATTGGCTTGTAAACAAGTTGACAACATTTACATTAAATACTGAGAGAAAACTCCAAACTAGACAATTTGCATTTAAGAGAAAAATATGTTAAAAATTATTTGCATCTTAATTATTCCATTAGTTATGACTAAATTAGGCACCTGGCAGTTTCAGAACTGAACTGTACTAAAACACTGCAACAGTGCTTACTATTGTAATTTACACTAATGATTTCCTCTGATAGAGTAAAAGCCACCTCATAGTTACCTGAGGATTCTAAAGGTAACTCAGTGGGCATAACAGTATGAAAATTACTTGTTTTTCATAGACTGGAAACTCACCACCTAAGTCAATGTTTTTGGCATACTTTAGAGGACAGTCTCTTATTAGCTATAGTTTTGTATGGATATCCCAGAAATACCAGCAAAACTAATGCGAAAGTCAAACTCTTCCGAAAGTATAAATCTCATCCAAATATTTCCAGCAATATTTGCACTGTTTCGCAGGATTTTAGCTAGTTTTATTTATGGATAAAAAAGTCCTACATGTTAAGCATTAAAGCATTTAAGAAAACTTAAGTTAACAGAAAAGCACGATGAATTATTAAATAGTTACAACAGTTCATCAAATTATACATCAGAAATTTACATACATGTTTAATCATAAAACAATATTTTCTATATATTATTCAAACTCAGCTTCAATATTTTTTCTCATTTAACAGTGATACTCAAAGTGATATTCAGGTTTTTTACCCCTTTAAGTGAGCACACATATTTCTTCTATTTTTACAGGTGCAAGGATGCTTATTTGGATACAACTTCCACATGGGTATGACTTTCAACTACCTTTAAATTACACTTTTTTCATCTTGAAGGCAAAAGGATATCAATGGTAATAAACAGACAGTTCATCATCACTCATGTCTGAATCATCATCATCCACTTCACCTTCAATGATCGATTTCTTGCCTTTGCAGCATGAAACAATTAATCCAATTAAAAAGACCTGCAAATTTAAAGTAAGTAGTAAGAGTTACTGTTAATTCCATTAAAGGGCATATAAGGGCAATATATGTAAAACAAAATGGCAGGGTGGTGGTGCAAATGATGCAATGACAACTACTGTAAATTATTCAACTTGATTTAGTGATCTCTAAAGTACTTACTGCAATGAATGCCCAGTTCCCAAAGTAATAAGCAGCACTGAAGAACCAAAACTTATGAAGAAAGAGGTACGTCCGAGTGACAGTACACTGATCTAAAATGAAAGGAAATAGTACTGATTGACACAGAACAAAAAAAAAAAATCAGCTAACCCAAATATAACAGGATAATAATTTAGTAGTTTTGAAGAGTATTCAGATCTGCAGAACAATTACACTCATTAAAGCTCATTGACTCTCCTCTCCCACGATGGTATAGAAGACCAACATTTGTTGTTACAAGGAGTGACTGTGACAGGTAACACTAAGTTACAAGTTACACAGGTAACCCCATTATCACTGCACACAATTTCTCCTGCAGACATGTCAGTTATAACTAGAAACTGTTCAAACAGAACTCACTTCCCATTTTAGATAAATCATAGCCATAAGGAGATACAAAGCAGATTCTGGATTAAACATACATTTCAGGACTCTGAAAAAAAGAGATGTTTCTACCAGGATTGCATAAGCTTTGTAAATCAACGCCAACTACAATGTTGAGTCATGTAGGCCAAAAAGCCCCAAGAAGTACTGAGACTCTTGCAATCCAGATAGCAGAGGCCTTATTTGTACCCAAGACCTAAAAACATGGTTAAACCTTACTTCTCTAACATGCATTTTTTGATGTGGTTGCATTTTTCTTTTTTAAGAGTCAGATTCTAACAAGATTAAGCATCAATTGCCAAGGCATTTTCAACACTGCAGACAGGGAGCATAAAGGCTTGCATGGGACACTGAACGGGTGCCATGGTGGCCAGCAGGACACATGAGCCAGGTGAACCTCTCCGGTGCAAGCAGTGCACTGAGTTTATGCTAAGGTACACCATGATTTTTTTTCTTTACTTACTATGCTTCAAAACCCCACCTAAAGCCTATTTCAAAGCAGGAACTGGTGCCTGTTCTTCCCTCAGTTTGGACCATAGGTTTGGAAATACTCCCCAGGTACACCTGAAGTACAGAACTTCCTGTCTTCTAAAATTCTGAGTGATATGCTGCTTATATAGTTACACAGTTTACCTTTCAGCAGCCATCTAAGTAAGAAATTCAGGTAAAGTAAAGATCCTTCATAATTGCAGACAGTATCGTCAATACCATATGCAGCTCTCCAGCTGGTTATTTGAATTAAAAGCAGCTAAAAGACTTTCAGATGACTCTTCACAGTAATTGGATTCAATAGGTGATGGTAAATATTTTAGAATAGTTTGACCTTGAGAAAACATTTCTATGCAATGTGTCACAAGGGCAGCTCACTAATTTTTACCTATTATTTCTGAACTAATATATTACTAAATAGGTTGACATAACACAACATTCTTAATCAACTTGTTTCTCCAATTTAGAATAAATTATAATGAATAACCTGAATTAAGATAACTACTTGTTATCCAGAATGATCAGAGAGAATATTACTGGCACATCTTGATCACATGGAACAGAAATACACATGGAAAGTTACTAAGCCTCCAATAGATTAACTGCCACCACTTTAAAAATAGAGCATATTATGTAGTGCTGACCAAGCCACAAAGCCAAGATTCAAGATAAAACAATTTTTTAAACAAAGAATGACAAGTACTAATAGTCATTGCTACCTGAAGAGTCAACTGTTTTTGTTTTCAGTCCACTGATGACTCAGTTAATCAACTAGACAATGTAAGAGCTTATACCCTCTGTAAATGCACAGATCAAACTGGGAGGAGAGCAGATACCCAACACACTAGATGGCCATATTTAGGAGACCTATTTTTCAAGTCCATTGAAACAGTCCTCAAAGTTTAACAGAGACAGAAGCCCTGTACTTGGAACAAAGAGACACTATGCAACAGTGCAGGCTGGGGGTTGACCAGACAACTAAATTGGAGAAGGTTCACAATCGGCATAGGTAAGCACTGAAGTGGCTGTCTGTGGAAACATTCGCAGCTGGATGGACCTGAGCAACCTGCTGTCCTTGACCCTGCCAGGGTGTTGGACCACACTATCTCTTAAGGTCCTGTGTGTGCTTGAAATCATTACACAAAGGTAGATGTACAGACAAAGATCTAACTAACAATGGCATTTTGGATGGAAAACTCAAAGTAAGAATGTCATCCACAGACAGATGAAGTTTACATACCCAAATTCAAGTAGAAACTAGTTTTGCTTAAAATATACTATAAGTTACTGCTAAAAGAAAATCTGCATCTTTACTGTGCTAAAACATATAAGCACCGCATATTCCAAACCTTAAATGTATTGAAGACATGGCTGCAGGTATCCAAGAACATTTATTTCATATAGCTTTTGCTGCCAATTATTCACAAGCTATGTTGCAAAAAGCAGTTGCTGCTTACAGTTTCTAGGTATGGCTTTGGTCACAGACCAAATTGTTGAGATAGACCAGACAAAGCAAGCTTCAGCAGTCTTCAGTAAAAAAATTTTTGTAATTTCAAGTTTCCCTTTTTGTTTTGTACCTGTGATCTCAATCTAATATCTTTATCAATATTTCATAGTGTTAAGGTCACTCAAGGACTTTTAATGTCCACAGAAGTTAATGTTAATGATTGTACTTCACATATTTCCACAGCTTTCTCTGGAAACAGATTCATGGAATAGCAGCAACATCTGCCTCAGCCCCAAACACAGTATTTCTTTGTTTTCTTGTTGGTTAAACAGGGGGAAATGACTATGTTTTTTATTACCTCTTACTCAGCAGTTTCTACAAAAGTGGTTTCTTGCATATTCTATTTGAGCATATCCCCACTTATTCCATATTCTTCTCTGCTGTGAGATATATACATACACACAAAAGTAATAGTAACCTCATTCAGCTGTTGAGTCTGCCTTTGCACTTCACAGTTCTGCTCCTCTGCTGCTGCTACTTCACTGGTTTCACAAGCTAAAATTAATCTCCCATACAAAGCCTTTAGAATTTTTGGGTTGTGGCATCCTATACCAGTTATCTTTCCCTTAGTTAACTTCTCCCAGAAATTGTTTAAATCTTCAATTCATCACTCAGCTTTCACAATAATACAAGTATTAAAGAGCTTTACCACCACTTGCTTCAAGGTTAACTTTGCAACAAATGTACATCTTTGATCTCTTTTCAGGCTGGAAAGTACACTGGAAGACACACTACTCACATATAGCAAGGATCTGAAAATATCTCCCAACTGGTTGTATGTAGCTACAATAGCTGCCCACTTAAAGAGATGTGAATCACTAAGCTTCCAACATTTAGAGCTGACAGCACTTCAAACACTACAGTGCACTAAAAGCATGAGTATCAAACCCCTCAGATGTTAAACAACAGTTTGCAGATCTTAAAACAGTGTAGACAGCTATGTCTAACATACATGCACAAAAAGTTGCCTGCTGTCAATTCCCAGTTGTTTGACTTTGGTGTGGACTTTCTTTGCTTAGCTGGAAGTGGTAGTGAGATGGCACCTAAAACAGACTCATAGAGACCAAAAGTCTAGCTGGATAAAGTCTAGTCCAAAAAGCTACCTTATTCAACAAAAGCTGCTCAGTAGTTTTGGAGTCTAATTCTGACAAAGCAAAAGATTTAGCAGGCTAAAGAGGAGCCAGGAACTCGGAAGCCAAGGAGTAATGAAGAGCCTGGAAAAGCTATTAGGGACAAGCTATCATTTAGAAGGCAAACTGCTTTTTTCAGTGCTTCAAGCTGCAGATAATTTGTATATGAGACTTCACATGGTGTATTTACAAATCAAACACAACCTGATATAAAACTAGACATCCAGAAAAGTAATGTAATCAATGTAAATAAGTCTAGTTTTATAACAAATAGTCAGATCTGATTTTGAAACAAAGGTTACAAGCCTGGATAACCAACAGCTATTTGTAGTTACTTTACACTACATGAACAATTGCAGCAGCCACACAACTTCTTGATGATAATTACACATTATGAATGTTTACATTAAATGGTTTGATAATTTGCCAGTCCCATCAGGGCTAGCAAGGCTTCATAGCATAAGGAGGCTTCCAGTAAGATTCTCCAAGATTCTGTGCTGAAAAAAGAAAAAAGTTTCTGAATGCTAAATAACAAGAACCACATCCTACCGAGCAATCTGGGTCACATAACTATTTTTTCCAGTCAAATTTAAACAAAGTTACTTGGATGAACAGGATTTGAATTCATGTATGAATGCAGGGTTTTTTGTAGAAAGCATGTTCTGGATCTTAGAATCAACCAAGCACAAACAAGCTTTACCTAAACACAACAAGAGTTTTCACCACTTCCCTCTATACACTCAAAGAGCCTATCACTCCTCTTTTGGCCATGTTAAATTTGGAGTTCACCTTCGCATAGCTATGGCATTATAATGCAAAACTGCACCTAGCTATAAGGCTTCTATTTCAGTTTCTTTACAGAGATTCTGTGAGGGTGCCAAGATTTGCACGTATTAACAGACTAGGTGAAAACCATTTAATGAGATTTGAGGAGCTAAACCTGTTAATCTCATTTTTCATAATTTTAAAGGATAAGTTGATTTTAATGTTTATTAAATATCTCCAAGTGAAGAAAATACTAATTCTACAAGGCCATGTGTATAGTGCAAAGGTACAGTATTAGCCAGTAACTTAGATCTGAAGCCATGTTAATTTCAATGAGATAATACCCACTTTCTACAGGGAAGCAATAAGTTCAGCCTGCTGAAGAAAAGTGTTCTGGGTGTTTTTATTGAAACTAAACACCTTTTGAAACACGATTTACAATTTAGGTTAATTACAAACACTGGCCAGATTGTTTAAACACAAGCCATAGTTGTTACTTCTTGCCTTTAAAATGCTAACTTAAATCTGAACTTCTGCAAGATGCATTTCCTGAGTCTCCCATCAAGAACTGAAGGCAAATTACTCTTATTTTAAAGACCTACCTAGTGACAAGCAACCAAGACAATACCCTAAGGATGAACATGGATACAAAATTCCAGAAAGCAAGCAGTGGACAGCATAACCTATCATTTCAATACTAATCACAACTTTTTGCCATGTAATTTCTACTGAATACAGTCACACTGTCTTCAGATTATTACTTAAAGAAGGATGTGGTCTGTGGAAAGAAGAATTCCTTGTTTTCTCTATCCTGAGATAATGCTACATGAAAAGAACTTGGAATAGGGGAAGAAGATACTTCAACAGAATTATCTTGATCTCTTTATATCCTTACAGAGCACCTCATATTCTGTCTGCAGACAGAAGTATTTACAAGCAGCTGACACTCAAAAAAGCATTTAAACAAAGCAGAGCAACTTCACATGCTGGAATGCCTTCCTTATTCTCTGAAGAAGAAAAAACAATTATGACTATGATTAAAGAGTCAAAAGACCCAATGCCAAGTTCTTTTAAATAAGAAGCTGGATGTGAATTTGTGATTTTTTTTTTCATCAATGATGCTCTGAAAACAACAGCTTTATTCCTGTCTTCTTTAGACACAATTTAGGATAATTTAGCTGTAATCCAGTCAGGTTTCTCCCTCATGGTTCAGAAAGGATTTGCCCAGTCCAGTGTCATTCATCCAGCTTAGCTGCAGGACGTCTTAGTGAAAAAGACCATCTCCACGAATTGATCCTTTCTAATTCTATTGGGCAAACCATATTTGAAGACAGACAGGAAACATCTGTATGAAGCATCACTAGCTACAGTTATAGATTACCGTTTAAATTTTCTGCATGGCTGTTCTTGAGCATGTTATGGAGTGAGTTTATCAGCTGTCTGCACCAAGATAAAGATTATTTGATTACACCAGCAGAAGTAGCTTCTAACATTTCATTGAAAATATTTCCAACACATGCTGCAATTAATGTTTCTCAGTGACCGAAAGATGTGGTGGAATTGCTACTTAGCCAAATATGATGCCTCCTTTTGTTAAGAGAACTGCCTTTATTAAAAAGGCAGTTTTGTAGACAGTGTTGGTAGGTTTCTTACTCAAAGGGTTCATTACTCGCTTTTAAGAATGGATGTATACCCCTCAACACTTTGCAAGGAGTTTCAAATCTTGTTCCAAAGTACTGATAATATCAGAACATTTTACTTGACTGTTGGGCTTAAATTCAAGAGGAAATAGAAGTAGCATGTAGATCCAAGAAGAAAGCATGCAATTACTTTACTGCCATTTAACATTTCAGAGTATTTAGGAAATGCAGCCTCATCTCTCTCCAGTTATGATTACTTGGAGGGAGAAGAGCAGTAGTTCATATCTGTCCACAGTGGTGGACTGCAGAAAAAATTGCAGGAATTGATGTATCTACAACTGAGTGTCAACGAACAACACACTGCAAAAAGATATTTATGGCACTCTTAGCTGCTCATATTGTTTAAAGCTGCCAAACAGGGCTTTCTGTTGTCAGACCTGCACCATTGTGCTTATTTATATAGAGTGCTTATGGTTATAGAGGACTTCAATAGTGTTACACACAAGTAGAGACTCAAGGGAAAGTACTAGTAAGGTCAGTCACTAAACTAAAAGGAAACGGGACAAAGACCTCACTAAAATCATCATTTAGGCTTTATATGAAACATTTTGTAACTGTGCAAATTAATTAATTTAAAACAACAATTTGCAAGAGGTAATCTATAGTGATACAGCTCTTCATACAAAATTACTAATATTGAAGGTTCTGAGCAATTTGCTTTTAGTTTCCCTTGGCATGTCTCCCAATTTCTCTAAAGGAGAAACAAAGAACATGCCTCTGTTTTGGCATTTGTCTTTGGGGCTCCTCTCCAGCTTGAGCAATGTCTACATCTAATCTTTACTCTGGCTAAAATAAAGCCTGGGGTCCTGAACTTCTTGACTTCTAGCTAAGAAGTGTTTTAGAAGGCGGCACAGACCTAGTTAACACAGTAAGACCTTCTCAGTTCAAAGCCTTTGAAACTGAGATAATCCTTCTTTCCCACTTTACATGTAGCTCCAAGTCAGCGTGGGCCTATGAAAAACACCCAGCAGATAAACTGTACCCAACATTTAGCAGGTGTTGGGTAAGGCTCATTTCACCAGTGAAAGAAGTGAGAGAATACAAGGGGGACTCACAGCATGTTATGCATTTAAAGTGCATGATGCTTAAAAAAAAAAATAATGTGGGGGGTTGTTTTTGTCCAGAACACAGTAGAGAGTGTTTATCAGATATCATAACTAAGCTTGGGAAAAAGCTTTTATATAGCCTTGCAGCTGAGTCATTGCTCATTTACATTAAATCTCATTAACCTCTTTAGCTAAACCCATACCAAGTTTTTAGTGCATTAGTCCAGGTGAAAGTCTTAATCAAATAACTTAAGTCCTTTGCTTGACCTTATGCTCAACTGAACTGTGGGCCCAACAGCTCAGCTGGCATTACGCCTTGGAAACAACAACCAAAGGAGATATTTGTCCAACTGTATCAAACACTGAAAATTAATGTCTTGCCTATAACAAATTTATTAAATTTGCTGCTCCAAAAGACTACTTAAAAAGCTTTTAAAAAGTCTAATTTAACCAGAACACATAACTCTTGTGTAAGATGTTAAAACATAATTAAAAAAAAAAAAGATACTTTGAGTTGTAATATGCACCCTACCCTATTATTTTTTGGTTTCTGTTCTGTTTTGAGCATTTATGAGATTGCAGCCTTTGGCACAGTATAAAAGATTCACCTCCTGCATACCAGGAGTAGAGATGAGTTTTGCTGCACGAAAGCAGGCAATATAATGCTAAAACACCACAAATTATATATCTAGCTATAAACACTTGAGAGTACATTTTTATAAGATGGCATTTTAACTGCCGTAAGTTTCCCCAGGAAGTGTAATTGTCCTTTTGACCAAGCCAGACACCAGTTTGAAATATATCTGTAGGAAACACTGCCCATTAAAGCCTGGAGTTTTAACAACATCAACATTTTTGAGAGTATTAGCTGTTACAACAAAATCAGATCAGGTCTGAAAAAATCTGGACCATTCTGAAGGCCATAAATATTTTGCTGAGATCAAAGCAATCAATATAATTGATTGTGACCTTAAAGAGCAATATCATTGCACAATGGCTTGTGCAATTCAGACTGTTTCAAACTGAAAAAACTGTTTATATGCAGAGGGAAAGGAAGGCAAAAGGTAACACTGCAAAAAACAAATCCAGTGTGATTTCAATTATTTTGTATTTTTTTTAAAGAAACCAGGCTAAAACTCATTCACAGCTTTACTCAAATTTCAAAGACAACACCAAATAAAATGTTACTAGTCTCTCTAAAAAAATAAAATAAAAAAAAATCAGCATTAAGACCTGCATAGATGGAAAGTCAAGGAACACTCCAGAATTACCTATCTGCTTAATAGTTACTACTCACACCTCCAGAATATCCATAATATATCTTCTGCCCAAAGATCAAAAAGGGACAGTTAGTAACACAAATGAGCAGGAGTTATACTTGATATTATAAGGAACAATAAATTTGGAGGATTACAGGAAAATACTTTAAGAGGTCTGGTTCCACTGGTATTGTTGCTCATGGAAGAGTCCATGTCTACCTATTTATAAAAATTCCATAAATCTCTTATCTGTAAAACTCCACTGAGAATTTCCAGTTCCACTGATTTCAGATCTTAGTTTTCCTGAGTACATTGAGAACTTGAATAGAATACTTGTCTGGACATTTCTATGGTAAATATATACACTGAAGTGACATTTCCCATGCTAAGCTATTCACCACCTGGGATTTATTTTCAACATCTTATACACACACATTAAAGCAGATGAGAGATTTTAAGGCTAAGTGGAATGCTTTGTTGGCCAAGGGTTGTACTAAAAATAGTAATTTCTTCAAACGAATCAGGTAAGCCTTAAGTAAGCTATTTTTTGGACTTAGCTACATATCAAAGCTTATTATTACATATATTATTATACTATTAGACCAAAGCAAATGAAAGCCATGAAGAGAGAGACTGAGTTACTTATTACAAACAACCACGCACCTATCGCATTAGAAATACAAGAAATAAATCTATCTAACTTACCTTCAGGTGCATCTGCATCACAGTCTTTAGATACAAACGTCACATTCCTTGGCTGGCCATCAATTGTCTGATTACTCTGCATTATAAATATGGAAAATTAGTCTACCAGGAATGTTCTTCCAATGATAGTCCCCAAACCAAATACATTTCCAAATAAGTTTTTAATTTTATTGAAACTGCCTTGACAAAACTCTTACAATATTTAAACAGATTGGGTTTTGAACAGTATATGCAGAGTAAGATGTAAATGGTAAAACATGAACATTTTAAAGTATCCTTTCATTTAAAAAAAATATAGCTTGTGGTTCTTTTTGAAGACACAAAAACCAAACTTCATCTCTGAAATTAAACCTTTTAACTGTCTATAAAAAGAATTTGAAACTGAACTTTGGTGCTAAAGACACCATGAAAATGTTAGACTTCTATAGTGATACCAAATGCAATTCCCTTCTGGTCTAAAGGCCAGATGGTAATATCCAACATACTTAGACAGCCAGAGTGGAAAAAGACAAATTATGCTGAACTGAACAATTTAGAACCCAAATGTGCCTGCTTAAGTGGCCCAAATCTTTGGAAACCCAATCCTTTCAGAGACTAACATGAATTCCTTACGTACCACATTTTTGAACAATCAGTGAATAGTTTCAGCAGAGTCCAATGCAAATCCTTTGCACTGTATTGATTTCTTCATACATTAATTCAGTTTAAAGGGTCTACCTACTTTTCCTTTCATAATTTTCTAAACAGAAAGCCCTCTAAAGAAATCACTAATGATAAACACGTTTTCTCCTTCAAACTGAAGAAAATATTCCATAAAACATACCAGCAATCAGTACAAGCTGGTACAGCAAACTGTCTCTCTGACAGCTTAACTGAGAAAGTTTATCAAGATTAAGCAAACACAGCCTTCACTGTGAAGATTCAAGAGAAACAACCAAGTATTTATCCTAAAGGATCCTTTAGGATAACAACAGTTTATATGTCCAGTTAATTTTGATTCATGAAAAGATGAGGAAGCCTGGAGACCACTACTGCCTTAAAAAATATGGATCCAAAATGAGTATGATTAGTCACAGGAATCAGAAGCTTAAGTGGAACCAAAAGGAGAAGGACAATGTGTAGATAGAAAGAATAGGAGAAGAACAGAAGACGTGAAATTTCAGTTATTCAGTGTACATTTAGTAATGGTCCATCTCCAGGATGTATTCCAGCCAGCTGTCACCATTACAGCTTACACTGCTCAGAGTGCTTCTTTCAAAGAACAGCATTGTACCTTGTACAATCACACAGGGCATACAAACCCCCCAGAACAATCAATCACAACTGGTCACCTTCATAATTTTTATTCACTTCGGTATTTTAATAGTAGGGTTCTTCAAATACAACCTATGGGCTTTCTTTGATAACATTGTTCACCATGAACACTCCTGCAGTTTAAGACATTTTTAGCCCAAGTATTGCCAGAGGAGAACTCTAGTGTTCTGTTATCCCATCTAGTTCAAGGCTGAAAGCAGGATGCATCAAGGACAAGCACGAGACAAAACCAAGTACAGTAACTCAAGCATGTGTCCTGTAAGAGGTGACACATTTTGGATACTTAAGAAAATAGCAAGCTTTCATATAACAAGTTAGGTTATAGCCTGTAACACCAACATAATTTGCTCCTGATTATATTCAGGATCAAGAAATTGAAAAGACTTGTTTGCAGACTTGGCCATCTAAGGGATTCTTCTGGATTCCTGCTGCTGACAGAGACACTCGAGGTCCTGCAGTTTAGTTCCACTCCTACAAATTATCTGTGTGATGACTGAGGAAGGAAAGTGACTGTTCCCCAGTTAAGGACCAGAGCAGCAAAAGTATCAATGTTGTTCATGGCAAACGCTGGCCTTTTAATTCCTGTCTGGGTCAGTCAAGTCTTAAAGGTCCACTAGGTACAAACATCAGCAAGGAATGGTCTTTCTTTCAGACAAATGCAAAATAACCTTTGGCCTAGCTGAACAGAAATAGCAATTATACTTGAGCATGGGCAAAGTTATGATTTTGCTAGAAAGCTGAGAAGGTGGCCTGGATGTGGATAGAACTCTGTGAATGGTTATGACGAGACTCATGGCTGATTAGCAGATATTACAAATTGTCTTAAGAGGTGAACCCAAGCTATCCCTGGTCTTTGAAGAGCTATGAAAGTTGACCAAAGCTCTACACAGCGACTCAGTTGGTAAGGCCATTATATCCATAAGAAACTTTCAAAAGTTTCCTACAGACAGCATAACTGAAGACACATTTGATGAATTGGGGTCACATGCTTTGAACACATCAGTGGTCAGAAAGTTAATAAAGCTAGCAGCCCAGGTCTACCTGATGTTAATTGCCTCACAAGAACTCCACTTTTCTACACATATTCAGTTAAAAGGAAAAATGGGCAGCACTTACAAATTAAAAAGTTCTTGTCAAGAGTAACAGTCTCCAAAGGAAACAGTTCAAAATTTAAAGAGGAATTTAACCTAATGCCTTACTACAGATTTTGGTTACAAATTAGTTTGACAGGTTACCAGATTGGGAATTCTGTAGAACAAAGTAAAGGGAAAAGTGCTCTTACATGCTGTCTTGTCTGTGAGCCACCAGACTGTAATATACATGTTTATCAGCCCCATCCACTAAGCTGACATCTTTTGCTTGTTTTTGTACACAGTGCTGGTTATCAGTGGTGTTACTTTAAATGATGAAACTGACTGTGATGTGTGAGCATAATGAAAACCTGGACTGTCCAAATGAACTGGTGCATACAGGTCATCATCAGGAAGCTTGCCATGTATAGTTCACTTGCCTCGCTCCTGTGTATGTTCCTGGATATTCCTACATCCATGACGATCGATTTTATAACTCTGAAGAACCTCTTCATTGCTAACATCCACAGAAAAATCTGTTGCTCCTCTTCATTCCCAGACACTATCTCTCCTCATTTCAAAATATAAAAATCTGACATGCAGTTGTCAGGGTAGTCAGAAAGAAAATGTGTCTGGTACATTCTGAAAGACTCTTTGAGAGCATGTTGTCTGAAGACCTAATAAGTACCTAAATTGGTATGCCAGAGAAGTCCAGATTTAATTTACCAGCATACTCTTTATGTCTTGTATTATTTTAACAATAAAAGCAGTTTCTACTCAAGTTGTAACATGCACTTTAAGCACAGCTCTTTAAAGTGAAACATAAGAAGCTAAAGGCCCAGAATGGCTACCTTGCCCACAACAAGTTTAATCCTTTAAATGGAAAGTTATAGCTCTACTCAACCATTTCAGCTAATCCTTCTTGCATTGCTGATCAGAATTGTATGTCAATAGCTGTAAGAATGACACAATAGCCTTCCTACTGCTGCGCTCTATTCTCTTGATCCTTCTTAGTTACAAACTATGTATTTATCTTTGGATACTACTTGTCATAAAGGTAACATGTATGTCTTTGTTTAGTCTCAATCCTTCTGCCTCCCTCAATATACACACATTTTATTTTATTCATAAAGAAAAACAAACTGCTAGCTACAGTTTTTATTATTTTTCTCTTCAATCTTCCATGTTATCTGCCAGCTTTATCACAAAAGATTCCTTTCTTGGGTCACTGCAAGGCCTAAAAACTAGTTTGGTAGGACCCTTAATAAAACTGTCTGTCCCACCCTTACACCCACAATGGCTATGCACTGTAATTGGAGATATACAATCATTCTACAGCTGAACTGCCTTTTGCAGGGACTTGAGCTCATAACTGATTCTGATATTGCTACATGATGTTCTAAGTTACATACATAGTGAGAAATCATGCCAGGACCTCTGTGTAAACTCACCATGTAAGCAAAATTCTTTCCTAAACTTACTTTCAGCTTAGTTTTTTGCTGCTACTACTGTAATTCTGACAAGTTGAGCCAATCTATAGATGCCTAAGCATGTTTATTTTCTATTAGTTATATCTAGCATAAAACCTAATAAAATGTATTATAATTCTTAAATACCAAATATTTAAATCCCCTACAGTGATTGTATTACTGTGCTTGGATTGACATGAGGATGACCAATTGCCCATTACCAGAAAATTGAGATGTAAAGACAGTAGCAAAGTAGCATTTATTGAATCCTCCATTTCCTGCAGTGACAATTCTACCACATGAACTCAACACATTTAAGTTGATCAGGTTCCTCATCTCTAGCATATTTAACACTACTCCAATTTCAACTTCTCCTTATAATCCTTTTGTACCAAATATTCCGTATCCACTATTTAAATCAAAAGAATTGATAATGATAAATCACAGAATTTACAAAATAGTTGCAGCTGAAGGAGGTCGGTGGGTATTTTGTTCATTTTCTTTCTTTTTAAAGTAGTGTGCTCGCCCAGAGGTACATCCTCCTGGAAAACTAACTAAAGGATTGCAAATGCTCAAAGCAGCATACAATTACTTCAGTCTCATTTAAATCCATTCTTTTAACCACTCTGGCTCAACAGTTTTGTCTGTGAAACTTAAACACCAAACAGCACACCAGGAGATCTTGACTTCATTGTGCCTGAATAATCAACCAGTTCACAACCTGGTCAGTTGTCTACATTTGCAAGACCAGATCTAATACACCTGTAGGATACCAGACCTTAATAAACAGATGTCCATGAAACCTCTCAAGATTCTTATGATATATAACGTTGAACTGCCCCATAAATATGCAGTCTGCCACTCAAACTAAGACGAAATACAGTAATTCAAGTCTTCAAGTACAGACGATGAAAGACTTAACCCAAAAACTTGAAGTACACAAAAGTGCAATAACAAAAGCAGAGACTAAATTTTAACTGCTTAATTCTGTAATTTTAAAGAGCAAGAACTGCATGGAGTTTCATGAAGTTGGACAGTCCAAAGTGTCTGAAGCGTGATTAATCAGCACATACTTTGCTCCGGTTTGATGAGTTTCTACTGTAAGAAGTTATCTTTGTCATTTCTCACAAATGTGCACATAAAAACTATCATCTGTGGAATAAGATTGATTTCCTTCTGTACACAGCCTTACACAACAAAAAGAATCCTCACTGCAGTCACTTAGCATGCCACTACAAAATCTAGTGGAAGCTGGCAGCTGTCTTATCAGAAGGAGTAAAGCAAAACTCAAAAGTTTCACACTGTCTGAAGATAACCTAGAAATTTAGTTGTATAATATGCACTACAATTAGTTTCTGGCTTGTGTATTATCAACAGATCTACTAGTATTTAAAAAAAAACAAACCTGGTTACAAAATTATCTTCAAAAACTGAGAATGCACCTGACTTTAAGAGTTTTTGTAAACAATACATTTTAGGATGCAGAAAATTTAAACATAAAATTAAAAAAAAATTACATCTCACCTGCACCAGGTATTTCTGGCTTCCATACATTACATACTGTGGAGCAAGACTGTAAATCATGTAACTTGTATGAAGAACTATCAACAGAAGTATCATACAGAGAAATAAGAGTGCTTGAGGTCGAGTTTTTCCTCGTCTGATTTTATAAAGCTAAAACCAGAAAACAAATATTAACACAACAAAATTATTTTTTTCCTGGAGACATTTAAAAACCTCTTTAATTCAAATAACAGTTTTAATTCTACTGCCAGAAGTGGGAGGTTGATAAAATGATCCTCCAGCAACTTAATTCCAGTGACTCAAGGCAGGTTTTCAAGGGTATTTACCTAAATTTCAAAGCACAGCTGTTTAAACAAATTAAGTACTGGTTGTATTAATGGCCTAAAACATTTATACTCCAGGAATTAGTAGGAAGATTAAAATAGTGTTGCCTATCACAGACTGTGCCTTGGTTTGTCAAAGAACATTGTGCCCTTTGGTCAAAGTGGGGTGTCATCTATCACTACAGCCCCAATCAGATCTAGAAACAGAAGAAGGAGCTATGAGAGAGCATTCCCAGGCTCTGAGGAAACCTCCCCACCATATGGTAGCTTCTTGTCCATAGAGAACATAGGGAACAACACAATCCCTCACTGTTATTCTGTAGATACCACTGTATTCTCTAATCCCCAAGGGCTCAACCTGAGGGCCGTATTCAGGTGAAGAAGCTGGTACATGAGGGGTAAATGACAGCAGACCAAAACCAATACTGATCTCAACTCAATATAAAGACTGATGGCCATTGTTCACAATTTGGGGTGTCACCACACGAAAAGGTGACAGTTTTAAAAGGCAGAGTAGGCACATAAGCCTGGAAATATTTAACCAAGTATCACAGGCATGACTGTCACAGTACAGGGCATAAAGTTGCTTTTTCAAACACTTTTTTAACAAATATATTATTTGCTTAATATTTAGACATGCCATATCACCACTGTACTGTTTCACGTCTTATGAAGCTAAACCTGCTTGTCACATCTGTGAGATACTGGATCCAAATCTCACTGCATTATTGATATAGGTCAAAACCAACTCACTGTGAGTGTGTGTGGGGAAGGGCTGGGCCTGGACCTGCAGGTACCTGGTAAGGCTGCCGTTACCACATAAGGCCTGCTGAGAGCACAGAGCCTGCAGCTAAGAGGGCTGGGTCCCTGAGAGCACAGGGCAGAGCTGGAGGCCCTGCAGCCAGGCTGTCAGTCAAGGCAGACCTGCCTGGCAGCCCGACCACACCACAACCCTGCAGCCTGTGACTGCTACAGCACAGCTCACTCTGGCCTGGAAGGCACTGACTGGATGTCCTGTCTGGGAGGGAAAACTGAACTATATAAATACAGGAGCTCCCTCTCTCTCTTTTCTCCAGCTGCCTGCACCATGTCAATCATCGAATCTTGTTGGTAACCATTTTTCCTCTCCTCTCTCTCCTTCTTTCTTTACTCTTTTAATGTTTTCTTCTTTTACTCTTTTCCTTCCCTTGTGCGTAACTTAAAACCCATGAATCATGTTGTATTAAAGTTGGTATATTGATTGCTTGTGGTAGGTTTTTTTCCTGTGGAATGGGTTTTTGTGCTGGATGTTTTAGTGAAATATTTTTTCTTGATTGTATTTAACTGCTGTAAACCCTTTTGCCAATATATCTTATTTTTATCACTAAATTAAAAGAATTTCTCTTAGGGAAGAGAGTGTGACTCTTTCTCCAGATGCAAATTTGAGGTTATAACAAACCAAAAGGCTTTTAAAAAGTCTTAAATAAAATTTAACCACTTTGGGCAGCTTATGGCTTAAAATCTGGAGTGTAACAACATCAATGGCAAATCAAGCCCTTCTAACTGCATGCACATTTCAGATTTTGACCATAAAATTGACTAATACTTCCAGTATATCAGAATCATATGGTTTTAACTTAGAAAAGTCAGAAACCAAAGCAACACTGATTAAACACTTGAAAAAGAGTCAGATGACCATACTGCTCAAACTGAAACATCAGTTTTGGTTTGATAACTTAGCAAAACAAAACACCTTCCAAAAGCCAGTGCAAACTGTACAGTAGGCTTCTAACACTTATTAGACATACAGACACTGGCAACATCCTGTATTTATGAAGCAGTACATAAATACATTCAATAGCACATATTTGTTAAATATCTGAGTATTAGAAACTAAACTCTTAAGTCATATTTACCCTTATCCAGAAGAACCATATACCCATATTTCGAATCCCTGCCATTGAAGTGAAGATAAAGTACATAACAATAGTTGTAATAAGAATATAATCAAGTGGAAAAACCTAGAACAAAAACACAAGCAGTTAAAAAGATAAGGAAACAAGCTTTTCTCCCACTTATATCTAAATAAGTAGTTTCTACTTTTAGCATCTGTGGTAGTAAGAGTCCTATTTAAAAGTTTTACATAGCTGCTTCCAAATATAGCTAACACAGCTCACTGCTAATAGAGCATAGACAATTAGCTTGCCAACTGAGCATTTTTCTTAATTTAAAACTTGCACTAATTTAGAAGTGTGATACATTTTTAGGACAAGAAATACTTATTTCTTTTAAATGGAAAGTCTCAGAATGGAAAGTCCACAGTGGCAACAATCATTTTAGGACTACATAGGAATTCTATTTGTGACACTTTTCTGATCATATTTGCATACAGAACTTGATTTTTATATTTACATTAATAACAGTTTGAGAATACTGCTGCTGAACACTACTTTTCACAGTAAGCTGCAAGCTTACATGTTCAACAATTTAAAAACCCTGGGAAGAATGCATTGTGTTGACCCACTGTACCAAGAATAAGGAAATAACTCAACTAGGGCAGAAAAAAGCACTAGCTTATATTAAGGTTTTTCTATTTTCTTAGTTTACCCATGCAAAACTAGACTTGTACATGGACTTGTTGCCTTCCAACTCTATGGAAGTTAACAGTATGTTGAGTTTGTTTCAAAAACTAATATGTTACTATAACATACATAACTGCACAGAGGAATATATCTTTCAATGTGCAACAAACATATTAAAAAGTGGAAAAGTGCATTTACTTTGCTGAAGAGGGCTAAACTATCCAGTACACCAACAACTAGAATGTAGGTAGAGCAGGGGACAAAGGTGCTTTTATTCTGTGCATAGTAACTACAAGTGCTGTCATTCTCCATTGCCACCATGTTCTCATCACATCAAAGTTAAATTTCAAACACCACCTTCTTTCCCTAGACTAGTTTCCACCCAACAAGATTTTCATATCAGAACTAATAACTAAAAGTTAGTAAGGAAGTTGCCTCCCTTTTACTGAACACACATGTAGACAATGTTGTTCTAAATCAATTACTTGGGGAGAAGTTTGCCTTTTGACAGTTTACCAGGAAACAGAGGAGCATCCTTACATATATATATATATATATATCACCAATTTTTTACTTACTCTTTGAAGAACTGGTAACAACATATTCAATGGATTGGTCAGATTAGTTCCTAAAATTATAAATCCTGAGTCAAAACCAGCCGAATGCAGAGCTTTGTCCAAACTGCAATAATCAGAAAAACTGGGTAAGTACAATGATTCTCTTCATCTTCAGTTTAATCTAAAAGGGTAACTCAAAAAAAAAAAAAAAAAAAAAAGGCAGTTGAACTAAGCCCAGAGACTGAGAGCTTTCTATTATCTATATAGATAGCGCTTTGTTTTGCCACACTCATTGCACTTTTTCTGTGAAACTTACATTGATTTCCACATCTCCTCAGCATTTTAGCTTTTCCCTAGTTTGGGTCACAGAGCTTATTTGTCTAGTTTGAAAAATTAAACATGCTCACATCTGGGACCTCTGATTAGTGGCACTCTTTGTTGAAATCTATCAGATCTGCAGCTGGCCATATTGTTTTCAATGCTATGAAACAATTACTATGAAATGGACACCATATTAGATTAAATTATGTAACTGCAAGAATTTAAGCACCCGTTACCCAGCCAAGAAGGAGCTATGTGCATCAAGATTCATTCAAGCAATCACAATACTTCTGTAGTCTGAATTAAACTTCCTTAACATATATGCTCAATTTCTCTGCTGAATCAGAACATTTTCAGCAACGTACAGTCAACTCAAGTTGATACATGTTCTTCCTTCAATCTGTTTTATCACATTTTGCTCAGTTTCAGTATATACTATTATAATGAGAAATGCAGCTCTAATGACAGAAATGTAAGACAGCAAAGAAGTGGGCTGACACTTGAAGCAAACCACCCCAATTCTGATGACAGAGTAGAAACTAGGTAGTTTAAGTGGTTAAGGAAAATGCTGAAATGTACTTACTTTGACAAGAACAGAGAGACAGTGAAGAGCAGTGCCACAATGATGAAGAAAACTCCCCACACAATCTAGAGGTAAAAATGAGAAGCAATGTAACTGAAAGTACTTTCAGTTGATGAAAGAAGTGAAGACTTGTCAAGGTTTCAGTAAGTGACTAATGAGCTTGGACCACTTCAGAGCTTCAACACAAAACTTTTACTATGTTAAATACAGTTTATGTCAATTATATCACATTCTCTAGTGCAATACACAAGCCTATCCCCAAGTCAAAAGTGTCATTAAGAGAAAAGAGATGACACATTACATCAAATGTACACAGTGTTTAGCAGAAAGCACAACCTGTACTCACTACATTACATGGGAAATCTTACCTATAAACATGCATATAGCTTTATTTAGCTATTCAGAGATTGGTGCCTTGACCACTACACCTGTGTGTTCCTCTTTCAAAAGGAGGCAACCTGTGCACACCTTACAAGGAACATCTCACCCTTCCCAAGTCAAAGCTCCCTTCTGTAGTGCTACTCCAAAACACAGTGATCAAATCACTTGGAGCTGGTTTTTCATAAAACTCAAGTAATCAAGCCCAAGTGTTAGGTCTCGATTAAAAACAAAAGGAGAGTGTTTTTATTATGCCTACTAAATATAGCACTTGAGCCAGGGATTCATTCTCTAAGCCATCCTCAACCAGAGCACCTCCCATTGTTTTTCCTGTGCTACAAGCTAGTTCAGGAAACCATTCTCCACTTTGACAGGTTCTCTCCCTCAGAATCTTTTCTTTGGGGAGGTTAGGGGATGGCACAGAGAAATGAACCCAGACAGCAAACCTGTTCAGTTACAGTTCCAACAGCTTCACTGTATTTTCCCAGAAACCCTAGTCATGGAATATGATCAAGTAAGCATGCTAAACTTCCTGAAACAATCATGTTTTCAGATTGCTAGACCTGAGACCTAGACGGACTCACTTCCAAACTGTATATGCAGGAACACAGCGTATGGTCTTCCACGTGAATGGGAGAGTTTCACCATTTAAATTTTATTAGCCCCAAAACTTGGCACACAGCCATCATGAAGAGGTTAAGAACTTTATTACAGCTGCTCATTAAAGATACTCAGAGTTACAATGCTATTATTGTTCATTAAATTCTGAAGATAAACTTCCATTTGTGAACTCTAACAATATTCGAACATCACTTCCGAAACAACTCCAACTATATAGGCCTTATTAGGAGTAGATTTAGAAAATAACATCAAGGTAAGCATTAACTTGTGCATTTCCACATAATTAAGTGTATTAGGATTTTACCTCTCCATAGCAAACTCCCACTAGGTATTAGCTACACAGGAAATAGATGTTTAAAACCAATTGAGGCCAAGAGTCTTAATCGTGCATTACTTCATTACCTTCTGCCAGCTACGGCAACTAGACTGGTATCCATATTCCTTCTGGAATATGCTTGTCTTCTGAAGTGATGTCTAACACTTAGATAAATCATTGGGGGGAAAAAAAATCACTCCTTTCCCCATTTTACCCTCTACTCCAGTCTGATTAAAATACAAGATTGAGAGGCTAATACTAAAAAAAGAACAAACAAAAAAGCCTTCATTCTCTTTTGGTTCATCCGATACGTCCACAGCACTATTAAGACTACTGAACCATAAATTATTTACAGTTTATATCAATCTATACTTAGATAACTCCAAAGCATCAGCTGACTTAGGCCTTTCACAGAAGGGATCCTTGTGTTTTTGTCTAGATTTTCCTCATACTTAACTGACTACAGACAAAGGACACCTCATTCCCAGCATGTTAAAAGACACTCAGACTAACATAACCAACCCACATGGGGTCAGTTGAGTATCATTTTGCATCTGGTTAAGGGAAAGAGCAAGTATTGCCTTTTTTCTTGCCCACCACATGAAGCCTAAAATAGGCTATAAAGAACACTACAGCTATATACTCACTGTTGTCTTTTACTTGTCACCTACAGCAAAAAACAAATACACAATCTTACTGGGACAATATGGCACTGCTATTTCCTAGCTTAAAACCAAGTAGGGTATCTTCAAATATTATAGGTACACTTTGCCATGAAAATTTGCAAAATAATTTTGCTTTGAGTTACAGCATAAATGAGGAGGAGTTCAAGCTCTTGAGAACATGATTACATGTTCAACTTCAGAGAAGAGGACAGTGCTAAATCAAAACCTCTTGTTCTCACAACAGGACTATTTATCAACTGATGCTGAAAAGCTTTTAATACTAGAATATGTGAAAACAAAAGCCTGGCTTCAGCCAAATACACAGAGGAGTTTAGTAAGGTCATTATTTTTTATAAAAGGAACCTTTGATCCATATTAAGAGAAGTCTAACTTCCAACACAAGGCAAACTTATTTCCTACTCCCTAGTCCTTTTGACAGCAGAACCTCAATGCAACCATACATCAAGCTGTGTTACCTCCTACACTACAATCAGTTTGAACTGCTCCATTGCCAGGCCATTTCCTGATATCCATCAACTACAAAACATAGGCCCCATACCCACCAATAGTCAATCACTAGCTATAGGACAGCGTTGAGAGCGGTTGCTTGCACTTACATCACTGATCACCTCTAATTATCTGCTTGGGTCTTCTAATCTACAATCTGTTGTGCAAGCTACTATGCATACTGCTAACTGCCAACAAAAGAGTGAACTATGCTTTTATGCAATATGGCAAATATTGCAAAAATAATGAGTTGAAGCAATACTTACTACTATGACTTACACTGCTGTCTGAAAAGAGCTCCTTGAGCATCTTAATAGAAAGCTTCTGCTCAGGCAAGTAATGACACAGCTAATGCAGAACACAGTAGGAACTGGTTTACTTAAAGCTTTGTCTTACATATGAATCCATGGGACTAAAAGACATGGCTGAGCAAAAGACAAGACACAGGCATTTCTCAACACCAGGACAAGTGGTTATTTTCTGAAGGAAGTTGCAGCCTACAGAGATCCCACATGCAGAAGTAGGTGCTTCTGATAGAAACTACAGTGCATGGAGTAGAACACTGGAACAGAAACAAAGCATTAAGAGGGCACAGCAGCAGAGTAGAAGCATTATGGATTGATGGCAACTCCCTACTGCCCATCCCCTCTGTGCCACAGTCAGGACAAAAGGACAGAAGTTGCATCTTGGAAAGAGCGAGTGGGGATCTCTTCACACAGATCTCAAAACAGAGCACTTGATTTACTTATATTACTTAACTAAGGCATCTCTTCAGTTTGTTCACAACTGCTGTGATGTACCCCATGAAAATAACTATGCAATACTTGCAATTTACCATTGCTGAGTAGACTTCCATGCTTCTCATTGTATAGTCTTGTTCACACACTGAACAAACATAGCTATGTGCTCTGGAGTTTTTTTTCCCCTAAAAAAATCTTATACTTATCCCTAGAGCAATACCACATATCTCCTGCTGCTGACAGTATCAAATAAAAGCATGAGAAACCATAGTAAAGAAAGGAGAAGCAGGAAATGTTACATTTTGTAGAAAGAAATTAGACGAATTCAATATGACTTGACAACCCCATGCTGGCCAATACTCATTTCCTTGGGATCCTCCAGATTGGTTTCTTCTGACTAAATTGAAAAACAACTTCATCTTTGTGTAAAACAATCAATCATTCTCAAAACTTAGTTTACTCTATGTCAAATAAAAAAACTCTTCAAAGAAAAAGTTTTGCCTTTGTTTAACAACAAATCACATGCTTGTAGACACTTAGCAGTAATAGAACAATTAAAGCAAGAACATCAGAGGACACTATGCAAAGACAATCTGATTACAGAAGTCTGAACACAGACACTAAGTTAAGACTGTAAAACACTTTGATGACTAAGTACAACTCCTGAACACGTTATTCTGTTCTGTCAGTCCCAGTAAGAGTCTGCAACTCCCATAAATGTGACCATCCCAAACACAAAGCAAAAATAGGCTTCTCTAGTAATCGCTCCACAAGAAATGGAATTTCTCTTGAAATTGGAGAAGCAGCCACATTCTTGAACAGTAACATGCATGTGGCACTGAAGGTAAAAGTGTTGTAAAACAGTAAACAAAGCCCCAAGATACCTTCTGCAATTCTACATTGAACAGAAGTGTTATCTATAGATATTGAAAAGATTTTTGTCTTTTCTTTAAAGCCACTGAAAGATTGACAAGGTAAGATATTTGCAAAGACATCCCAAATGCTCTTAAAGCAACAGTAAAACTGTTCTGCAAGAGTTAAGGTGTAATTAAGTGATAGACATTATCACCTTCACAGGACAGCTCTAGTCCAAGCAAACAAGTTCACTAACATCCTTCATAGCACAACCCTAGTCTAAGTGAAAATCTGTCAGGAAAAATTATCCACCTGCAACTCTCCTTTAGCCTGCAATTCATGAGTCAACAGTTCACACTGACTGCCCCAGTTACTGAGTGAACAAAAAGCATTCAAACCACAAAAATAAGGAGACACTTGAATACCATCTTTACTGTAGGTGCTAAGTTGTAAGTAACTAATGATACTGTACATTATCCTACAAGAACACAATGAATGGTTAAAACCTTACAGACAAAAAAATATATGGTCAATACGCTTGCCAAATTTGAGCTTAATATGAAAAGTTATAGAAACTAAATAACCTATACTGAATATTTTTTGAATCAAAAGGAAGCACCCAAACTGTTAAAGTGAATAGTTATGGATATCTGGCCTTTCAATGAAAGGGCTAAGACTACGTTTGTAATGTATCACAGCAAGATAACTCTGCTAAGAATTTCACACTGAAAGCTTTTGGTCAACTGCAATTTCAGCCCATTTTCATTGGTACTTCACATTAACAGTAGCACTGACAGAGGAAATTCCTTACAGCCCAGTCCCCTCCACTCATTTTTGCCAAAAGCAGCCTACTGTTAAAGTTTCTTCCTACATCTAGTTGGCAAGAAATACTTTATATGGTAATATTGTTCATAAAAGTACTAGTTTTTAAAACCAAGTATCTACTAAAAATCAAAGTCCTAAGATCAAAGGGAGACCAAGATAAAAGCTTTGCCCAAATAACCATCTTATTTGCACTGGTTAAGTATTACTACATTAATTTCTATGTAGCTAGCTTACTATTGATCAGGTAATTCCTTGGCAAGACACTTATTCCAAATGCACATATTCTCAGAGTATTTCTGACTTCTGCTGTATACATGTAATTGAGATTAACCTGACAGCTATAAAATTCTTCCTTCTCCCTCCTTTTCACACTTGATAGAAAAAGTAAGATATTCTGATTTTCTATGGCAGTAGCACTATCGCAGACGAGCTAGGATTTGTTAATTTTCAATCTTAATCGTAGTTGAAACAAATTAAAAGGTTTTCCAAGACCTCAAACAGTGCTTCCTAGAGGGCTGTCATTCTGTAGTGTAACAGTAAATTAAAAAAAAAAAGCTGTTGATATTCAGGATGGTAATTGATAAACTTGACCTATGGTTTATATGTGAAGAAAAAAGATAAAAGTTATTTCAAATTAAGTATCACAAAAATGAGAGAAAGTTTTACCTTTAAAGGTCTGATAGCTTCACAGAACTTTGTCCACCAGCTTTTCTCAATAGACTCCAAATGCCTCTCTCTCCTTCGAAGTGTCCTTAATCTTTCTTCCAGTTGTTTTAGAGTCCGTCTATCCCTTGATGACAGAGGGCGGCCGTCTCTGCACTGGTTACCAAAAAACAGTGCAAGGGATCAAAAGTCACCAAATCAAGAAAACAAACTTGATGCTTAATTTAACTCTTTACAATTCTCAAGAATTTGTAGTATATAATTCATGCGTATATAATTTCTACATTATCAAGAGGATGAAGTGCAAAAAAGTCATAAGCTACAACAAGAGGAATTCCTATTAACTGGTAGAAACCAATTTTCACAATGAAGAATTAGTTGAGTGAACCAGACAGTTTGTTTGATAACTATGTTTAAGAATAAAGGCTCTGAATTAAAGTATAAACACTGAGTGGGAACCACTGCACTCTTATAAACAGAGTAGCAAATCCTTAGATCTCAGTTACATGTTAATAAGCAAAAGCAACAAAACAGGTATTAGATAGCCAAACCAAAGCTGTTTGTAACATCGATGCTAGTGTATTACAACCTGATACTTAGATAAAGAGATTGTTATATAGTAGGAAATATACTAAAACCATACTTTAGAATTTTGAAATTCCTTATTAATTTTTTCCCTTATTTGTTGGGAAACTGTTGGAACAGTTGAGGTCTACTATCACAGAGCACACAGCAGCACAGATGGACGGCCAGAATGAAAGTGAGGCATCTTAATATCCCTTCCTCCCAGTCAAGGCTGTGAAAACACAGGTCAAACTATTATCTGAAATGGGTTGAAAAAAGCGTGGGAGATTTCCCCTACCGCCTTGTTTGTAAAGCAGAAATCCTACCCTCCTTTGGCTTGCCCTTGGAGGTTGTTAAAAGTGTCTTGCTTACACTAAGCACAGAATTCCCTTTAGCAGCAAAGCCATCCTGGGTTTACATGGGGATGTTTAGAATTCAGAACAGATTTCCATATGTATGCTTTTCATAAAGAAATTATTTATAACAGCAAGGTACATTACTGGGAAGCAAGAATATCTGGGGCTGTTATTTATTCATACAGATGATTCACAGTTTGATGAATCTACCTCATGACAGCTCTACGTGGCAAGCATCCAGTGTTAACCACACTATACCGAGTAAGTATCAACAAATTGGATGCCATTTCTAGCAACAGACTAAGTGAGGTTACTATCTACAAAGTATCTCTTCCATCCAAGCAGGACTGGAGAAATTGTACTTGTTAACACTATTATTAGCTAGACAGAAATAACTACTCACACAGAGAACCTAATCACTACTACACAAGTGACCATGTTTGGTCCCAAATAACTCAAATAACTGCAAGCTATTCACTTTTTACTTGCTAGTCTTTCTGGCACAAAAACTCTATAGCATGAACCATAAGCTAATAAGGAAGAAAAAAAACATTAAGAAAGTGAGAACAGTGAAGACCATACCTTTGATTTAATCCTTAATAAATGTTGCTCCACTTCTTCAATACCTTCAGTGTTCTCCAAACGTTCATAAGCTGCACTAGTAGTTCCCTTAATCAAGTTTAGAGGCAAAGCTGACATACCATAAGCCTAAAATAAAAAGGAAACAGACACACTCAAATTTTGTGCCATATGTTTTCATCTGATAAGGCTGCTGTATGTCATAGCTATAAGGTATCAGTACTGGTGTTTTTTTCACCCCCTCTGCATGCTCTAAAAAAAAAAAAAAATCAATTATTTTCCTTTTTTTGAGCAAAACATAACAGATATGCTATGCAAATTCCAGTATCCCATATTGTTCCAGTGGTACTTAAGTGTCTCCTGATCACTTAGGCAGTAGCATGTGTTAAGACCTTGTATAAGCACGGTACACTGAAGATTTATCAGACTACTTGTTCTGCTTTGTCAAGCCACATAGCTTCCCAAAACTTTAACTTTCCCAGATTTTTCCAATGCAAGGTCTGTAAGCTTTCCACTAACATAAGAAGAAACAGATATTTGAGGCAAGGTAAAGAAGAAAACGGCTCTATTTCCTCCCTGTTACCCTACAATTCTTATAAATAAAGGCCAAGGTCAGAAGTTTCTCCAAGCAGTTTAGAGACATTAGCCATTAGCCTGTCATTTGTTTACAGTGAATGCTATCCTTGGGGAAGACCTCAGCAGGAAGATTCTTTTCTCTCTCAATCACAGTTAACATAACCAATTTTACTAAAGTGCCTGATATATGAACACTTGCCAACTTCTGAAAACAGAATTGTTCATGTTGGAAAAGACCTCTAAGACCATCAAGTCTAAACTAACACTGCGAGGCCCACCACTAAACCATGTCCTAAAGTGCCACTCTACAAGTTTGTTAAATACCTCCAAAAATGCTGAAGAGCAGTTTCCTAGATTTTCACAGGAATACCACTCCCTCTGTCAAGCACAGCTTTGTATTTCATACTGAGAATAGATTTAACACAAATGCTAGTGTGTTAAAAATGCCACCTTACATGCTGTCAGATCACATGAGTTTTGTTTTCATAAGGCATGATTTGACCTGCTTAGAAACCTACTTAAGCATAATAAAAGTCTTCACACACTACACCCAAAGCAAGACACTGTCCATTTCTTGGTTTTATTTTTGAATTTGTCATATACCCCATTACCAACATCCATTTCTAGGCCCATTTAACCAAGAGGTCTTATTTACTATTACTGTAGCTCAAACCCAAATTAACTCTTTAAATTGGTAACCACTTAAGATCTGACAGAGCCCACAAACTTCAGTTTGACTCTGTAAGCAATCATTTTCCAGGATTTCAATAAAAATTCCTCTAAGTATTAGGGTAGAAAAGCATGAAACAGAACTTTAGCAAGTCTGACAGCTTTGTTGATTTGCTATGGAAATAGGTTTCTTATGTCTGGAGTAAAAATTACCAGTAAATTGTTGGAACAATGTCAGTAAAGTTGAACAGACAGCACGTGTCTCAACAAACTGCAAACCCAAGGAAACAATGGTAACTGATAAATCACTTTAAAAAAAATTAAGGGTGTAAGAGAAAAGTACTTTCCTTCAAACGTTTCTTGAAGTATATATCAGCAAAGAACCCATTCAGCTGGAGAGCTTTGATAACTTGCTCTACTTGACTTTTTTTTTCATAGCTATGCAGTATTAGAATTTGGGGTCCAATAGGCTCTTAGAACAAAAGGTAAGCTATTAGCTATCTGCTCAGCATTTCAGGACTTCACAGTTGATAGTCTCATTTGTAACCCAAAAACACAGATAAAAAAAGGTACCTGCAGCAATGATTACAGACTTCCAAATCAAGTTAAACTCCCTTTTCCACATCTACAAAAGTTAACTGACAATTTCAGTTCTGATGTTAAAGCTTTGTGCTATAGAAGTGTTAAATAGAAAAGACATCTCTTCTCACAGCCCGGTGATGAAAACAATTTTATGCTTTCCAAGACATTCTAGAGATTCTGGTTCGAACAGAGCAAGTCAGCCATAGGAAGGCCTACTTACAAAACTGAATATTTTCAGTAAGGAAAATAATTTAACTTATGATGAACTTCACAACTCTTCATAAATGTGTTTTGGTTCTCCCTTTAGAGTATCTTCTTTAAGAGCATTAAGCTCCTTGCCATCTACATGAGCTAAAAAGCACTCCCCCAACTCTCTGCTCTAGGCCAAAGAAAGAATTCCTTCAACCTTTATTTATAGGTTGCTCTCTGCAACCCTGTAATCACTCAGACAAGCCTCCACAGGAGTCTCTACAGTTTTCAACAACTGGGGGATCAAAACAAGACACAGTATTCCCATGTGTGGCTTCGGAAATATCAAGTACAATGAAATAATGGCTATGTCCTTGCTGATGCAAGCCCAGGACACTGTTTGCCTTTCTGCTGCAAGGAACACTGTTGGATCATGCTCAGCTTACTGTCCACTAAGACTTCCAGGTCCTTTTCAGCCAAGCCATCCCCCAGCTGTTAGATTCAAGCTCCTCAGAATTAACCCATTCCAAAAGAAGGTCTTAAGAACTGCTAAACCCGATGTCATTCTTGTTGCACCAATCTGCCCTGTCAAGGTCTCTGTGGTGGTTTTTCATTCTGTTTTATCTACTTCTCTCAGTTGGAAATCATTCTTAAACTATATGTCTACTCAACCTCATCATCCAGATAATTTCTAAAGACTGACTAGTATTGGGCCCATATTGAACCCGAAGAGCTCACTCAGGTCAGCCAGTGGTATAACTCCAGAATCTGGGGGAAAGTACAAACACCATCCAGTATCATAACTAGAATGCAGGCTACAATTTATCTGAGGTTCCTCTGTGGAACCCAAGACATTTCCAGCCACAGACAAAACCAATATTCAGTATGCAGAAATGCATATAAGGGATTACTATGACAATAGGTCTAAACAAATTCTACAAAGCTAAGCTCAGAAGCAATTAGATTTCACCACCCAGCAAAGGCTTTCACCTGTTCTTCAAACAGTTACCATCAACTCACATATCAAGTAGACTCAACAGAAATAGTTAAGAATTAAAATGCAGAGCTTTAACTCTTCTACATTTCTACAAAGGAAAATACAACTCTCAGAGTGATGCATTGTGTTGCTGTTTTTGCAGATGTGAATTATATACTTGAACACCAAGCTTGCTCTAGTGATAAAAGTGGTCTAAGTTCCTTCCTTGACTACAAAAGATGATAATAGCGAGATGATTATGCAAGTAAGCCTCCCATCATCAGTGTGGGAAAAAGACACATTGGTTCTTCAAGACAACAATATATATAGGATGAAGGACAGAGAGATGAGTCATCTCATGTGATGTGTCACAGGTCTGAACAGAAGCTATATTAGCTCATTCTCAGGGCTGCATTTCCCTTCAGGCTGATACAGAAGTTCAAGGCTGCCCTGGACAGAGTTTTAATCCCCTGGGTTAGTACAAGTGTTAAATTATTCATGGACTATTATTTTGGGCATCTGCAACTTAACAAGCAAGCAGTGTATTGAAGATAGCACAGGAAAACCAAAGCTATAACACTAAAGCCAAGAAAGGGCTAAGTCCTGAAACAAACTGGATTCAAAGTTTTGAATATGAATAAAAACAGATCAAAAGAGCCTTTAAAGCAGTTAAGGTAATTTATATACATGAATTTAGATGAAACATGTAATTAATTCTTGACACACACTACTGAAACAACAGTTTCCAACTTATTTTTAGTTATCTTTTGCCTAGAAGTGTTAAGTCAGGTAAGAAACACTACACCAAAGAGTAAAAACAGACATGCAAATGTCTGTACAGGTAATTGCAGTATACATGTTTGTTTGTGGTTTTTTGCCATACATATTCTTTAAAACGAAAGTACTAACTGTTCAGGCTGGCATCTGATAATGCATGCTGCAAGCCTCAGGCTGCTGTCTCTACTGTTACTGGATGTCTGATCAGCTTCATTGAAACCACATTTTACAGTAGAAAAATCTAAATTTAGAGTTAAATCAACTTATTTGAGAGGAGATTCCCCTCTCTTGAATCACTGCAAGTGATCCATGTAAGAAATCACCCCTTATCAGTTAGCTTAAGGGCTGGAAGGCCAAATTCTAAGAGCTCACTCCTCAGTAAGTACAAGTTAGAGGCATCATCCATGAGCAGCTGTCTCATTCTCATTTGAGCTTCTACCCACAGGCAATACAGTTAATATCTCTAGTTGGACCAAGTTCATATTTATACTTCACAGATTTCTTGAAGTAAGTGGCTGCCTACTCTGAAGGAGCAGAGAAAAAAAAAAAACAATTACTTACAGCAACAGAAACCCCTGGCCTTACCAACCCTATTAGAAGAACATTCTAAACAACTCTTGAGACTTCTGCCTTATTTGTTATTCACAGAAGTGGTAGCTGGGTTTAACACAGTAATTTGTCGGTAAAGCAGGAGCCAGTAACTCACATGAACACAACTAGTTTAGTACCATTCTGTACTTTTCAGTAGCACTGAAGAGCAGCCAGAAGCACTCTCTAGCAGTTCTCTGAGCATACCACTGAAACCAAATATACTCCGTGCTCCAGACAGAGCATTAAAATACCTTATGAGAAATTACATGAACACTGCTTCCAATTTGCTTAGTCTTCACTTCCCCCATGTACCTTTCCTTCCCATCCATCTGCAGCAGATTCAGCTATTCTGTCATTCCACAGTTAAGATTTAGGAGGAGTAGCTGCTGTTCTGATCCTTAGTCCCTCGCAGACTCAGTATGTTACAACATTTTAGATTCGCTAAACTCACATAACCCACGGTCAGATAAGGGAATAGGCTTTCCTACCAGCTGCCTGCTATGTTAATAGTCACTTATAAATAGAAGGCAGAACACAAACGAAGTTGCAACAAGTTGTATAATCATGTTTTACTGAAGTTGCACCAAACAACTGCATCAGGGATAAACCCTCTTGTACTTAAAAAATCCAGAAAGGTGTTTCACTGGAAACCATAACCTCCAGTTTAAGATTTCTAAATTGCAGAAGCTATGAAAGACTTTCATGTAAAAGAAAATATTAAGGTGGGAACAACTAATCATCAACCGTACCAGCCCCAAGCCCAGAAATC